AAGGTCGTGGGATCGAGCCCCGAGTCGGGCTCCGCGCTGAGCCCGGAGTCTGCTTAAGAGTCTCTCTCTTCCCCTCTGTCCCTCCCCTCACTTGACTGGCTGCCTGGGACCCGGCCAAACACAGTCCTCTCTTGCCCTCCCTGAGCTGCTCTGCCCTGGGGATTCTTCCTCCAGAGCATCCACGTCTTGGCTCTCCAGGGGCCCAGCCCCCACCCCTTCTCACCTCCCCTCTGGCAAGACCCCTCCCCAGGCAGCCGCACCCACTTCCGAGGCCCACGTGAATACCACGTGCGTGTGGGTAACTCCTGGGAGACCCGCACGGATTTCCAGCTGCCCCCCCACATCTTCACATGGAGGCCACAAGCAGCCGAACGTGCCGGAAACGAGCCTGGCACCATTCCTGGCTTCCGTGCCCAACGTGGCCCTCCTGTACCTCCCGAATCTCAGAACTTGGTTGTCGGACATCTGGTCTCACCATCCCCCACCCCCGCGGCCCCCCTGCCCCAGGGCCAATGGTTCAGGGACCCTACCTGCAGCCTCCACCCCCTCCCTTGGCCATGTCCTACCTGCTCCCTCGTGGAGGGTACGAGGGCCTCCGGAAGGCCCTTCCTGCTCCTTCCTGGCCAGCAAAACCATTGTCCACACTGCAGAGGGGGACTCTACAACTTGAACCCGGTCATGTAACTTGCCAGCCTGAAAGCCGATGGCTTCCCACCGCCCCCAGGACAAAACCCAAGCCCAGCAGCCTCCTCTGCCCACCTCGCCCTCGTTGACCCTCTCGGGCCACAGTGGCCTCCATTTAGTTCCCAGAAACACCAAGCTGCTTGCTGCCTCCAGGCCTCCCGCATGCTGTTCCCTGTGCCTGGGGACAGCTTAGCTTAACGGGCACGTCTTCGGGGAGGGTTTTCCTGGTCCACCTGTCCAGGTTCGGGCCTTGTGATACTTTCTGAAAAGCACCCTGCAATTTTCCTTCACCACACTTTTGACCACTGAGATCACCTGGGTTATTTATCTGCTGGCAAGAGCCACCAGCCTCCCTCAGCCCCGCACAGGCCCGGCACGGGTGGGATGACGACTACTACCAGAATCGGCCATTTCTCCGGGGCGTCCCCGCGCCCCCCGCCCCCAGCTGTGGACCCAGGTCCCCTCCTGGGGCGTGGCCTGCCTCTTCGTTTGCGTCCTCTGAGCCACCCGCCCAGCACAGGCCCTGCCCTTCCAAGATGGAGCCCGGGCTCCCCTTCCAGACACCTTCCTCCCCGTCAACCACTCTCCCGAAATCCCGAAATGAAGTTGGCCCTTCCGACGAAACCATCACGTGAAGCTGTCACAAATCAGGGACGATGTCTGGGTATCGTTTGTAAACCTGATTTACCCGCTCCCTTTTCTTATGTACCATGTACACCATTCGCCTCGAGACCGGTAGAGCCTCGAGAGCTTCTGGCCGGGTTCCTCGGTGCCTCTCGGTAGTTAAGAGTTGTTTGGAAAGGGTCAAATGCTTCGTTTGTGAGACTTGTGCCAGGAAGCTCGGAAGTCTGGGGAGAGCACCAATGAGAGGTGGAAGAGATTCCCCACCTTCCAATCAAAAGTGACTCTAAGTGCTCACCTCACTTGCTCAGTATTGACAGAGCACTTGCTCCGACGCCCCCCTCGGCCAGGACTCCGGGCCCGCCCGCTCCGTCTTGCCCCCGCGCGGCCCAGGCCCAGAGAGGTCCTCCTCTGGGGGAGGCCCCCAGGGCTGGCCTGTCTCTGCTCTCACAGGGCTCCCGCCCTCCCTCCCTCCCTCAGACTCTGAGCCGATTGAAGGGTTTCCAGCTTCCAAGGGGCGCCTGGGGGGGCTCAGTCGGCTGAGCGTCCGACTTCGGCTCGGGTCACGATCTTACAGTTCGTGGGTTCGAGTCCTGCGTCGGGCTCTGTGCTGACAGCTGGGAGCCTGGAGCCTGCTTCTAATTCTGTGTCTCCCTCTCTCTCTGCTCCTCCCCTGATCTCTCTCTCCCTATCTCTCTCTCAAAAATAAATAAACATTTAAAAAAAAATTTTTTTTTTTTTAATGGAGGGTTTCCAGCTTCTTGAAAGACAGTTTAAACAGATAATCTGTGATGGTGTAGAAATCTTGCAAACTGATAATGTTGTCACAGGACACGGCAGCTTCTCAGGCAAGTGGCTAGTGCCTGTGAGGACATTTCATCAGCTCAAACAAGGCGATGTCCCTCTCTCGCCCAGGTACTCCAGGGCACCCACGATGTAAAGGCCTGCTCTATCTGGGGCTAGTGGAACAGGTATGAACCCTCTCCCCCTCCACAAAATATACAGGAGAGGGGCACCCCGGAGCCTGCCGGAAGGAAGCCTGGAAGGGCCGGTGTGCAGGATCCAGATTTGGCCAAACATACACATCCTCACCCTTCACTTCCGGAGACACTGCTCGGCCCCCCGGGGAAACCCTACACGCTGGCTTCTCACTACCAACGGGGGAAGGTCTGAACGGCGTGCACCAGCTTGCCCCGTGGTTTCCAGGCGGGTCTACCCACCATTCTGTACAGAACTTGTTTGGGTGACTTGTGCTCTTCTGCCCAGAGCCGCACACACACAATCGTGGGGGGCCCAGTTGGCCTGTGCTCCGAATCTGGCCTCGGGATCAGAACTGGCCCGTCTGTTCCTGACGCCAAGAGGGATTGCCTCACCTCCTTGAGCCGGACCAGGCTGGGCCCCTGGAATGCAGCCGGGAAGGAAGAGAAATCTGCAGGCGCCCAGGCTCCTAAAACTGTGAGATAAGATAAGAGAAACAAAAAAACCCAGCTCGCTCAGGACTGCACTTAAGCGAACTTAAGGACTAAGCACAGATCAGGCACAGGCAGCATCTATGGCCCTGGAGGGAACACGTGGTTGGGAGCCTCAGCTGAGGGGAGGGCGCTCCGCCCGGGACCCTCAGTGGGGACCCCAGTGCACTGGCACTGCGGGGCTTCCCCAGCCGGGAGGCTGGATGTTGTGAGCACCTGATCTGAGGTATGAACCCTTCTCTGCTCTTCTCTGTACTTCTCCCCTCTTGTGTTCGCTACAGCTGTTTAATTCCGCACATCCCTTTCCCTTTTAATTACTAAAGTTTTCCTCCGCGGAACCAAAGTGCCGCGATCGTGAACTACTGTCATTCAGGACACCCGCCAGGGCCCATCCCAAGGCCACAAATGTGTACGGGGCCCACGCACAGCGGCAAGACAGCACCTAGCCAGCCACGTTTCTCTGACGACGGTCGCGGCTCGGCCACCGCGCCCCAGCCGGGCTGCGGCCCCCGGTGGGAAGGGGACCGGTTCCACAGCTGCCAACGCGCATCACCCAGGACTCTGGGATGTGGAGAAGACGTCCCCCCGCCACCCTCAGCTCGGGTCCCGAGCTGGCACAGACCACACGATTCAGGGTTCCTCCGGGAAACAGGTCCGTGTGGAGGGTCCCGCAGGTGGGAAGAAAAGGGAGCAGGCTCTCTTTAAAAAGACTCCTTATGGGGCGCCTGGGTGGTGCAGTCGGTTGAGCGTCCGACTTCAGCCGGGTCACGATCTCGCGGTCCGGGAGTTCGAGCCCCGCGTCAGGCTCTGGGCTGACGGCTCAGAGCCTGGAGCCTGTTTCCGATTCTGTGTCTCCCTCTCTCTCTGCCCCTCCCCCGTTCATGCTCTGTCTCTCTCTGTCCCAAAAATAAATAAACGTTGAAAAAAAAAATTAAAAAAAAATAAATAAATAAAAATGAAAAGACTCCTGGTGATACGCGTTTCACTCTTCTGGGTCCCTCATACAGGGGGGCTCGCACAGTATTTGTCCTTTTGTGTCTGGCTCACGTCACTCGGCATGAGGTCAAGGCTCCCCCCCAACCCAGCAGGTATCAGGTGTCCCTTTGGGGCTGAACGCCCTTCCCTGCACGCACAGGCTGCATTTTGCTCGCCCATTCATCCGTCCGTGCACACGTGGTGTGGTCCCACCCCTCGGCCACCGCGGTAGACGCTGCCGTGAATGTGGGCACGCCAGCATCTCCTTGAGGCTCTGCTTTCCACTCTTTTGGGCGCAGACCCGGAAGCGGAGCTGCTGGATGGCAGGGGAAGTCTGCTCGATGCCCCGAGGGGCCGCCAGCCGGAGGCTCCCAGAGCGGAACGGTGCCCGAGGCTGCCGACTGCTCTACACCCTCCCAGCACCCGCTCTGCTAGTCAGAGTCGCCATCCCCGCGGACACGAGGCAGAAAAAGATGATCTTTTACTGTGCCCTGCAGAAGCACTGATGTAGAAAAAGCAACCGGCGGTGAAGCGTCGCAAGATGAAAACATCACAATCTTCAAACGCACGCGGCTAAAAATAACTCAAAGGAAGAGAGGTGTTTTCAGGGAGGTTGTTGACGTAAGTGTGCAATGGAGATGCCCTCTGGTTTGCTGGCTTGGCTGGGCCCTCCCTGTGACTCCTGGGACCATTCAGGCGACAGGGAGACGGGTACGGGAGCCAGGGGACGGCGTCCTGGGAGCCCCTTACGGGCCGGGACAACTTGCCAGAGTCATTTCAGTGTCCAGGGCAGCGCCCCCCGGGGGTAAAGAGTGAGCCGCACACAGTACCCTGGGAGCTGTTTGTGTTACGTTTTGAAATTCAATTCTAGAAACACAAGAAATTTCAAAAAGAACACAGCGGGACCCCGATTACCCTTGACTCCGCTTTCCCCAACGGCCGTATCTTACGTCACCGTGGATGACATCACAACTCTCACGTGACCACAGCACATTATCAACCCCAGGAAGGGTTTTGCGTGCGCGAGAAGCTCGATTCATCACAGGGGCACATCCGTGCCACCACCCTCACGATCAAGACATGGGAGGCCCGTTCCGTTAGAAGACTTCGCAGGCGCGTACCCCGCCCCCCACAGTCACACCCCCTCTGCCCCGGCATCCCTCACCCCTGCCAGGCGCAAATCCGTTCTCCACGTCTGTAATGTTGTCATCTGAAGAGCTTAGTACAGATGGGAGTCCTACGTGACGCGACCGTTGGCGACTGGCCTTTGTCTTCACTCAGCGAAGTGCCCTCGAGGTCCATTCGGGCTGTCACGCGGATCAAGGGCATCCCTTTTTCACTGCTGCGTGATTCTCCGTGGGTGTGCGACACAGCTGGCTCAATCGCCCACTCTCCGGGTTCCCCCCACTCGGGGCTGTTACAAATCAGGCCGCTTTGAAGAATGGTGCGCAGGTTTTCTGTGGACACGAGCCGTGGCTTCTCCAGGATGAATGCCCCGGAGAGCAATGAGCCAGACTGGGTCGCCTACGGAGTGGATGCGTTGTCTGCTAAGAAGCTGCCACGGGGGCCCCGTTTCTCCGCACCCTCACCCACGCGTGGGGCCGTCACCACGTTCATTTTAGCCGCTCTCAGCGCCGCAAGCTGGCATCTCACCACGGTTTCAATCTGCACGTCCCCGCTGGCTAACGAGAGTGACGCCTCCTCACGGACCAGGGTGCCGTCTGTAAAGCCTCAGTAAGGCGTCCCCTCACATCCTCCGCCCATTTTCTCGGACCCTCTGGCTTGGCTGGTTGGTTTGTTTCTATTGTTGTGTTCTGAAGCTTCCCGGACGTCCGGATCCCGTCAGATGCACGGCTCGCGGCCTGTTCTCCCTCCCGACAGACTGCTTTTCACCCTCCCAACGGGGCGTCTGCAGAATGAAGGTTTTCAAGTGGGCCAAGAGCCACTTACTAACTCTGCCTTCTACGGATTATGCTTTGGGGTCATGTTGGACACCCGTGCGCCAAGCCCCCGGCCCCCAGATGTCCTCCTAGGTTCTTAGGAAAGTCTTACAGCCTTACACGTTAAAGTGCATTATGCAACTTGAGTTAGTTTTTGCATCAGATGTGGGGTCAAGGTTCATTCTGCCTTCAGACGAGCATCTGAGTCAGCACCACGGAGCTGCTCCGCACCTGTGCCCCAAACCGGCGGCCCTATACGTGCGTGGGTCTGCGTCCAGGTTCTCTCTGCTGTCCCCACCGCCCTCTGCGTCCGTCCCTCGGCCACCACCGCACTCGGTGGACCGCGGTCGTTACCACAGTCTGGAGCAAGTCTTACAACAGGGGAGGGCGTTTCCTCTCACGCAACTGTTCTTGAAAATTATTTAAGCCGTTCTCATTTCCTTTACTTTCTCTATACATTCTACAACAACCCTGCCTTCATCTACACGCAATCTTGCTGGGATTCACACGTGTAATTGTGGTAACGTTGTAGTTCACAGAACCTACACCCAAAACATTACCGTTTCAATATGTAATTAATACAAGAATGATGAATGAATTTTTTTCACACTAAGTCTTAGAAAGTCCGTGTGTGACTTACACGTATGTATCCGACCTGCACTTGGACCAGCCGTGTCAAGTGCTCAGCCCTGGTCGAGAGGCCCAGGGGATTTTAAGCAAGAAGGACATTTTCCCACTGGGCACATGACCCGTGAAAATATTAAAAGCAAGAAGGGAAAAGTCACGAACAGGAAAAAGCAGACAAGTAATTGCTAGACAAACACATGCTGCGGAACGGTCCTGAAAGATGGTCTGGGGGGGGGGTGGGCAGGGGAGTAGTAGGTGGGTAGAGAGGAACTTCGTGGCTAATAAATCTGTGAGACATTGCAGAGTCCCATTCTGGAGTCCTGAAACACAACGGCACATTAAAGGCCCTGAGAAGTCCTGCAATAAGAATCTGCTGGAATGTGTTTACCCCGCAGCCTCTGAACTTATTTGGGCAAGAACACTTCTACACACACTGTTTCGCACGCTAGAGAACCTCACAGAGCACAGACCGGGTGCGTCAGTACGAGGGAAGGGCCTGGTCCTGCCGTGGGGCACAGGCACCAGGGACCAGGCTGTGAGTCTGGCTCTGCCCTGCACTGGATGTTAGACACCTCGTGTTCGTTATCTCCCCTCTTTGGGCCTTGGTCTCCTCATTTGCACAAGGAGTCCCCTTCTGGCCTGCACAGGTACGATCCGAAAATTCTAGCTCATCATTAGGATCCCATAAAATGTGGCTTTCTGGCACTTTCCACAGCACAGTCTTTCCCCATCCCCCCGCCCCAGCCCCAACTATGCTTTTGCTCGGTATATATATGTTCCAGAAGCAAGCCTTCAAGTGCCAGAGAGAAGCAGGAGGATGCAGCAATCACGCCTCACTGCTTAGTTCACGCTCCGGAACTTGGCACGGACAATTCTGGAAACTGGTTATAACCTCCGGTTCTCTCCCATCTCCTTCCCCACCGTCCGTGACCCTTTGCTCCAGCCCAACTCGGTGATCTCCCCAGGCCCTAGGAGCTTTCATTTCTGCACCTTCCCTGAGTCTCCCTCCCCCGCACTCCCACCAGCCGCACTGCCTCACCTCCTCTCTGCCTCCTCCGGTGCCTCCCCCCTCTCCCTCCTCCCTGCCTGTGCTCCCTCTGCCCCAGCATCGGGTCTACAGCCCCAGGCTGTCGCTGTTAATGCCCACGCCCTCTCGCCCTCCCGCCCTGCCTCGTGAGCACACCATGGGGACCCAGGATGAGTGTGACAGACCACCACCCGGCCGGGCCCGGGGCTCATCGCCATCCGGGAAACATCTCATCGCTCACAGACTGACTTCCAGGAGCCACTCGATCTGCCCCGCTGGCTCCCCCTCCGGCACCTGCAGGCTGACAGTGGTTCGCGAGAGCAGACGCGGGGAGTCCAGCGCCCCTGTCTGCACATCTTGAAAAGGGACGGACACAGAACACGGGCCTCTGCTGCGGCCACGGGTGACCAGGTCAGTGGGCTCCCAACTTCAGGAGGGGAGCAGCTCCCCGACAGGTACATGTTTCCAGACGTGGGCCACGGGCCGTGGGGGCAGGAGGGCACGCGAGCGGCGTGGCACAGACCCACAGCGTGAGAACCCACCTGGCCTGGCTCCAGCCACCTCCCGGGGCGGAGTGGAAGGATCTGTCCCGCCTGCCCCTCTCTCCTTCCCTCATCTAAAGTAACTTTTCTCTCCTTCCCTCATCTAAAGTAACTTTTCCCCCACGAGAGGGAACAGCTACACACACACACACACACACACACACACACACACACACTGTGTGTGGAAGCCAGAAGGCAGCCCCTTCCCCCTTCCCGTCCCTGTGTCCCGTCGCTAGGTCACTCCTTCCACGGGGGGGCCACACTGTCCTGGGGTTTCCTTGGGGTGCACGGGAGGGACGTCTTTTGTGGAGATGTGCCCTCTTTGCAGATGTCTCGACTTGCGTCTCAGACAACAGACGACGGTTTGCCGGGACCCGGCCGTGTTCACTCCACGCAGGGAAGGTAGGACTCCACCGTCCCTCAGCGTCCAACGTCACGGCTGGGACGGCTGACACCTTCTTGGCTGGGCCACCTCTGCACGTGACTCGCTGCCCCCAGAAGCTTTCAGAATTTCCGTCTTACGCCACCGACCTTCGCGGGGGCCCTGGCGCCCTCGCGCTCGGGCCCTCCAGCCTCCGGATTTCCTTCTGTCACTTCTTTTATAACTTCTTCTGTTTTCTCTTCCTGAGCCCCTGAGTTTCATCAAAGCCAACATCGACACTTCCGATGCTCACGTGTGGTTTTTAAGAGGATTTCTGAGCAAAGAGGGAAGACAGACGTCTGCACTCTGCCCCCCTAAAAATGGGAACTGAGGTAATATCGACTTTCTTGCGCAGATCAGAGCTCCGACGGACAGCCCTCACACGGAGACATGGGAGGGTGAGGCCTGCTTCTTAATCGTGGGCCCCGTGGGACACTCTCGAACTGGGCCCCTTGGGAGCGCTGGTGATGAAAAGAACCTCGTGCATTCTCAGGGGAAGGAGGGGAGCTCCGTGGAGAGCAAAGCAGCACAGAACCAAGTCCCGGGAAGCCCGGCGTGCCGGGGAAAGGGGGCCCCGGGGGACGTGTGGACATTGAGATAACAGAATCCACGGACAGGACTGCCGCGGCCTGGTCAGAACGAGGGTTGTGTCAACCTCTGCCCTGACGTCGTGCCAACGTTTTGCACCTGGTTTTGGCCACGATCGAAGGCAAACTTGCTATAACTAACGAGCACGTGTATTTTTAAGCCACCAAAAGCCAAAGGCCTTCGGTTACGCAACACCCGGACCACTCCTCCTCTAAGACAGACTCTGTCCTGCAGGCACGGTCTCCCCTCCCCACAGACGAGCGGGAAGGGACAGTCCTGCCACATCACCCCGAGCGTTATCCCCGCACGAATCATGATATAAGGACGGCCGACTCACAGAGGGTTTGCCTCCAGCGACATCAAGGGCATCAATGCCGGTGCCCTGAACCTGCACGACATCCGTGCTCGCGGCCGTAACTGGGGACACGGGTCATGCTGCGGGTCGAGAACAAGCCAGACGGAGCCCGGAAGACGTGGCACAAATGAGGCAGAGATCGGCATCATCCCAGAGAGACCCAAGTCTCAGCCTTACGCAAGTTCACGGAAATCTGACCCTGCAGGCCCAGGAAGGCGCAGGGGAGGGTCCACAGCGGGGTTCCTGTGGGCTTTATCAGGGTGAGGGGCCCCAGCCGCCCCCACTGTGCTTCTGCAGGGCTGCTCCACGGCCAGCTGCCGGCCTCGGCGACCCCTTCTCGTTTCCCGTCCTGGAAACTCTTCCCTCCGTCTGTCAAACTCCCACCCGATCTTTCAGGCCTCCCCCTAACGGCCCCTCCTCCCCGACTCTGTCCGGCCCCACAGAGGCACACCGCACCCACCTTTCCCTGGGAGGCCCCAGGCCACCCCCACCTTCCTCGCTGCACACCTCTCTCTGCGGCAGTTTACAGCCCTGCCACATTCCCGCCAGCCTCAATCTCAGCTCACCCTCAAACGCAAATGGTCCCCCGTGACCTCTAAGGCCCCACTTCGCTTTCTACTGCAAAGCTCCCGGGAAGGACTCTGTTGGCTTCCTCGACTACCGTTCCCTCTTGAACGGGAGGATTCGCTCCCAGGGCTCCACCAAAGCCCTCCCACTAGCCCTGTCCTCGCCTTCCAGCTTGCTGAGCCCAGCCCTCCGTCAACGAGGCACCAGGCGGCAGCCGTCACACCCTCCCTCTGGAACCTACTTCGCGTCTCTCGGGGCGCCTTCCCAAGTCCCTTTCCCTTCCCGTCCCCTGTCCAAAGCCGCCTCCGTAGGGTGACCCGGGCTGCCCCCTGGTCCCCTCTCCCTCTGGACCCAGCCCCTGCCCCCACGTCGCCTCCCGGGCCCGTGTCCCTGGTCCGTTCCTCGGCCCCGACCCCACCGACCGCTTTGCTGACGACCCGGCACTTAAGCTCACACCGCTCGTCCCTAGTTTTAACAGCTGCAAGGACAGGATTTCCAGCATTTTATAAATATTGGCTTCTTAAAATAAAACCGTTAGGTCACTCCTCTAAGCACGTCTGCTGGAATCGAAGCGCGACAGCGTGATCTCCACGGCCATCCGTGTTCCACGCCCGCGAACCAGCTCTCCCTGTCATAGTCCACGGCCCTTTTGCGTCTGTGACCACCGCTCCCCGCGCTGCGAGCAGGACGGGACAGCCACGGTTACGGACTCGCGCTCGGCAGGACTCCACGGGGCCACCTGCAGGTGTGCACGTGAACTCAGGCACGCAGGTCCAACCAGGCCTGCTCTTCTAGGCCCGCAGGCTGTGATCGCGTCTTCCGGGTCGGGCCGGGGCCGCGCGAATTGGAACCCCACCGATGCCGACAAAATGACAGCACGTGTTCTGACGAACAGTCATCTGGCAAGGAAGCCACGTCTGATGAGGCGCACAGGCCTTCTCCCCAGTGGGCTGGCCCGCCACGGACAAGTGTGCAGATCCGCTCCCACTCCAGTTCTCTAAGTGTGAGTGCGGGAGCCCCGTTCCACAGGCGTGTGGCCGGGAAGGGAGAGCTCTGTTAGAGCAGCGCCTCCCACGGCCACCATCCTGCCACCGTGAGTGCCACAGGCTCCGTCCGCGTAAGGACGCCTTCCACGTGCCGCAAGCCTGAGGTCTCTGACCCGCAGCGAGGCCACTCCCC